AGATATCTCGTAGATTGTGCTTAGTAGTTCAGCTATGGCAGTGGAAAGCTTTTTTAAGAAGGCAGCACATAATCCATCAGGGCCAATAGATAGAGATGGTTTTAGAGTCCATAAATTGTGTTTAAACTGCTACAGAAGATGAGATCAAGGCAGTTGTTGAGTCTAGTGTTGTTTGTTACTAATTGATCCAGCCCCAGAATAGTAATGGTATTGTACAGGGTTGCATGTATAGGTTCAGTTGTACATTTGTTTAAAGTCCAATTAATTAGAGGTAGATTGAGGTCACCAAAAAAGATAATAGGGTGTGAGCAGGAGGCTGCCCACGTTAGTAGCGCAGTTAGCTTGTTTGCACGATCGAAATTGTAATCAAAGAGCTCTGTAACATAGTAAGAAGTGAAGTTTGGTATTTATGGACAGATCACAGATGATGGTCTCAGGAAGATCAATCTCCCGTGTACCATGAATCTTTTTCAGATCAAGGGACTTTTTATAGAAAATGGCAACACCATCCCCTCTATGGTTTTCATGGTCAGATCGGACCATGGTAATGGAGTCTGGAAAGGATACATTCAACCATGTCTCGCAGACAAAGATTAGATTGAAAAGGGATGCATTTAGTAGTAGTAGGAATTCAGGCATTTTATTTGCAAGGTTTCTTGCATTTAGTAGCTTGCATTTAAGGTCTGTAGTGGTGGACCTGGAAGAAGTCTATCCATAACAATAATATTTTATTTGCTGTCATGCCCCGTCAGAATCTGATTCAGAGAGGGAGGCCAAGCAGCTGACAGGGAGTGGGAGTGTGGCTCTGTTGGCTGTGGAAGAAACTGGGGAAGGGCAAAGGCCAGCTGGGAAGAGCAAGGGAGAGGGAATTTGGAGGAAGACCCAGGCCCACCCCCTCTTCATCCTAGGACATGCAGGGAGGAACGGAGAAGGGAGCAATGTGAGTTGCGTGGCTTACTGGGGAGGAAAGGGCCCTGATTCCCTTCATTAGCTGCATCTAGGAACACAGTGTTTAAAAAGGGAGGCTGCGCACAGCAAAGTTGTTGGGAGCAAATTGTGAATTATCTGGTATCATCCAGGCTTATCTGGGTTGCTGGTGTCTTCCCAACTGTGTGTTTTGCTGTGCTTTCAAGTCTGGAATTCCTTCTCCTGCCCTGTCAAGTTAATTACTGCAGCATGGTTTGTGTGGATTTTTATTTACAGTTTGTATGTACTTTGTTTTCGGACTGAATTTCCTCCACTTAAAGACTGTTCTTGGGAGAGTTTTTTCTCCAGCTGAAGGTAACCAGGACATTGGGGGCAAAGTTGGAGATAAAAAAGAGACACTTCTTGCTTATTTGACTGTGTTGCCCCAGATCATCACATTTGCTATGTTTTATGGATTTTATTAATAAAGGATCATCATTCATTTCAATAGATAACATAAAGCACAGTATTAAACTTGGGAGCTGAAAAAATAGATCTGAGAGATCATTCAATGAGCCACAAACTATGTAAAATCTGCGCCAATATAATTTATTCAGTCCAGCTCCACTACACTTGGGGAGCTTCCTAATGCTGCGTTCGGGGCGCCGCCCCTCCACCCAGAACACAACGGCGGGATATTTGAAAAGGAGAGCAAAGCCATTCTGGCTTTGGTCTCTTTTCCCAATGCTGCATTTGGGGGGTGGAGCTCCTTGCACCAGAGCATGCAAGTCAATGGGATGATCCTGCAGGTCCTTGCCTCGAACGCGGCGGCGGGATTTTTTCTCACCCCTGAATTGTGCCCTGCCGCTCACCTCCAGTGCCCCCCTGCCACCTCTTAGCGCCCCCCTGTTGGCCCCCTTGCCTCTCAGCGCCCCCCTAAGGCATCCCACCCCCCCAGGGGGCGGTACCGCCCACTTTGGGAACCACTGTTTTTACATTAATAGCACATTTGTAAAGCTCATTCCACTTGAAGATTGAAGAATCATATTCCTTCAATGCAATTAACTCATTGAACTTGATTGTTCAACTGTGACTTCCTCTGTTTATGATGCAAGATACCATATGTGACTTGGACACCCCAACTTATGGATGAACCTCATTATTACTTTTTCATTTGTATATCACAATGAACAGCAGATGGGCCATCAGTAACACATTACCTGTAGCCTAGTAACCTGACTACTGTGATAAATCAGGATGTCCTGCTAACAAATATGGGCTGAATAAGTTTCTTGCATGTGCTTTGATCTGTGCTATAATATTAATTTAATTTGATTTGTAAGTAAAACATAGCTACAAAGCATGCAGCCCTGCAACATTCAAACATCTGAAAGTATTATTTTAACAATCTTCTCAAGCCCATAGCTGCAACCTGAGTTAGGTCTGTCTGTAATAAGAGATCTCAACTTGCTCCTTTGAGATGGTGGCTTATCTTCCTGATGCTGAAGCCTCTTTGACTTTCTTCCAGTTCTAGCAGGTTCTTCTGCTTGACCTCTTCCACAGATCCCAAAGAGTTTTTATCCTGTCACTCTGGCTCTTTACCTCAATACATCTATCACTGCTTGTCCTCAGTTGCCTAGGTAACAGCTTCCTCTCCCACAATCCTGACACATCTGTTTAGGGATTCCATTGCCATCTCCAGCTTCTTACCAGCCATATCCAATCTGGTGTTTTGCAGACAGTATTTGGGGATGCAGGCCCCCATATTGCCAGCAGTGTGTGACAATGCCAGTAGTATCTGGAAGGGCTAGGCAGAGAGAACCGCAGTACTCTTTCTAGTGCAAGAGAAATTGACCTCCTTATCTCTGCTTCCTTCCTGAGATCACCAATTATAAAAACTTACATAATGGTAAACAATGCAAATATATTTGGCAAACCATAGGAGGGAAACCGTTTGGCATTGTATGGCAACTACAGCATGATTATTTTGAATTGTAATTTGTATTGATTAACCCAGGAGATTAAAAAATTAATTTAATAGGGAATATTTTATATTTTCTATATCATGAAGCAAAGCACATGATGTTTCACCTTTTTTTGAACAAATATCCGTATGCTGACCTTCCATTTCTTTTCTCTGGCTAATTTTTTAATGAGAGGAATTAAATGTAGAATATACTGATGGGCAGTTGCAATGGCAAAAACAAGAAATTGCATTGGCTTACAGTGATAAAGAAACATATCCAAATAGTACAGGGATGTGAGTTGAAATAACCTGTCAGCAATATTTTACCTATTTTATTAATCAAAATTCTTAAGCCCATAAAAGTTGACAGTGACAGAGAAACATGTCAGAAGGTCTTCTCCATAATCAAGCTTTCTTCTTAAAGCCATTCTTGCCTTCTTCAGTTCTCAGGCCACCCTGGGTGTGTTTAATTAGAGAACAAGCTTATTCTATAGAGCAGTGTTTCTGAACCTCACCAACTTTAAGATGTGTGGACTTCAACTGCTTGAACTTCCCAGCCGTGCCAGGAAGTAGTTCACAAACTTTAAGGTTTGCTAGGGTTTAGGAACATTGTACAGAGCAGGGCTGTCAAACTCAAGGCCCGCAGGCTGAATCCAGCCTGCAGGGTGCTTAGATCTGGCCCTTGGGGGCGGCCTGGAAACAGCAAAGGACCGGCCAATGGTGCCTCTGCAAGTAGAAAATGGAGTATAGGGGCCTCCCCCAGCCTGTTGCTGGCCAAAATGGAGCTTCCATGGGCTGGATGCAGCCGTCCAAGTCTCCATTTGGCCCTCCAGAGGCTTCCCCGTGGCCTGTTATAGGCTGAAATGGAATTTCCATGGGCGGGACCCTGCCCTCCGAGGCTACGTTCAGCTTTCTGAAAAAGTATTTACAACTCCACAGATTCTGCCTGCTTTGCTAGTGTTCCGGATTCCATTTACTCCTCTCCACCCCATTTCCCATGGCTTTACTATATTTACTTTTCAAAGAGCTCCGGAAGAGGCTGACCCACGTGGCAAATAAGCCAAAGTCTTTTATTCTTTTATTATGTATAACTATTGTCATATTTGTATGTAAAAGTGATGACCCGGAAATATGTTGTCCACTAAAAAGAGCTTTTTGTTTTTATTTGAAAAATTGAATAAAATTTGTTTTAAAAAAAAGAAGAGTGGTGAACTTGCAATCTTATGCACACTTACTTGTGAATAATTCTAAATCTCATTTATAAGGCAGTAAGATTTATTCATGAGTGGTCTCTAAAACCATGGAAATCACAATAAAATCCGTGAGTTCTGGTAACCTCAGTAAACACAGCACAAGTTTACAATCTTATTTATACATTGATAATTTTATAATATTGTATGTATTAACAGCTGGATCATTGTGTATCTGAAACACCTTTATCTGCCCAGAATAGAGGGAAATCAATCTTCTTGCAAAAGGGGAAAGAAAGCTGAAAAATGAAGGATAGGCCCAATTGCTTTGAAATAAGCAGAGAATGACTGGAATGCTGCTATACCATGAAATATAACAGAGAATAAGTGAAAATGGAATTGATGGCTGGCTGGAATCCTAAGCAAGAAAATTCCACCTTGCAAGTCTTACTTAAAGAGATGTAACAAGAGAATCCAGAGAGACAGTTGTGGTTGACACAAAAATTAAGGTGATGGACACAACTGTATGCATTTGCAATGCATACAACAAGATGCAGGGCTTTAATCGCATAGACCAGGGGTGTCAAACTCGTGTGGTCACGGCAGTGTCATGTGACATATTGTGACTTTCCCCCCCTTCGCTAAACCAGGCATAGCCAGTGCATGATGCATCCGGCCCACAGGCCATGAATTTGACAGTCCAGTCATAATTTTCTTGAAATCCACCCCTGCAGACCCATGGTGCAGAAATAAAAGTTACAATAAAATTACCATTCTGTGGCAACTGATTGTTAAATGAATAAAAATGTCAAGTTGCTAATCTATTACTGTTTTGGGGAACTAGGATTGATTTGTTATAAAGTCAATGTGGTCTAGTCAATTAACAGCTGTCAACATGTTCTCTCTAGCAGATCATGTGTTTTGTATTTTCCCCACAGCCATTGGAAGGACCCTCATCCCTCGTTATTTTAGTACTGTCTTTGAAGGAGGAGTGACAGACCTGTATTACATCCTCAAGCTCTCAAAAGAATCCTATCATAGCTCCTCCATCACAGTGGATTGTGATCAATGCACCATGGTCAGCCAACATGGAAAACCTATGTTCACAAAGGTAATAGGAAAGGATGATGCGAAACATGCAAATAATGGGTGTTTGAGATACTTTCAGTGTATAACAAATGTTTTCTCCTGAGGGTTGATGAATTTCCTGGTTTCTTAAATCTCAGGATACTTTTTTTAAGGACCATATAACTAGACTGTTAGTCATAAGCAAGAAAAAGCACCACTATTAATTTTAATATTTTTTGTTTAAGAGTATGACAAAGAAGCTGTCAGATCTGGACTCAAGCCCAGATGGATACTTCCATTTGTTTAGCAAAGGGACAGTCATACAACTGTTCCATTAAACATGAGCTTTGCATATCATGCAAAGACTCATTTGTATAAGTTCACACTATTCAAACACAAACATATGCATACATCATATATTATATTAAATTGGAGGTGATCTGTCCCTATCCTCTATCAGCAAATGAGAGTTTCAGCCTATATAGGGACAGGCTACCTATCTATATAATCTTCCAGAAGACATTCTGGAAGAGAACTATGTTAGACTATGATAGCCAAAAATATAATGAGTCTGACAGCATCAGAAGAGCTACTTAATTTGGAGAAAGTAAAGCTAGGGAAGAATTCACGCTGAATGTTTGAACATGCACTTGAATGGAATGTGGAAACTCTGTGTGCCTAGGTATTGAGGGAGCTGGACAGATTCCAACAATCCCAGATGCCATGACAATGATCAGACATCATCATCATCATCACTGTATTTGAGTGCCATCAGTCATTATAGTTCCTTAAAAACTGAACAAAATGACATAAAGTATTAAAAACCCAACTATAACTTCAATAATAATAACCCATGGTAAACAAAGGAAAGGTAATAATAATTAAAATTTTACTCTACAGCCCTCATAACACTAGAGCTCAAAGTAACTTTAAAATCAAATCAAAGGTAGCATTAATAATAAAAATTTTAAAAAATTATTAAAATGACTAGTGAAGGATCACTTCCCAACTACATTTAATACCTTCTGGAAATCCATTACCAAGGTACTTAGTCTAGAGGTAGGTTCTAGAGGTAGATTGTTAAAAAAAATAGTTGCTAAGCAATGCTTTATTGTCACAATTCTCCCACCTTATAAAAATGAGACTTGTAGATACTACAAATATCTTGGTGTCAAGCCTTCTGGATAAAAAAGTTAAAGCTACCACTAGAATTCCACTCAGAAGCCTGCTGATAAAAGTTGTGATCCAGTAAGTTGTGATCTCTGGTTACCATCCTTTCTCTATATTTTTGCCTTTAAAGATAAATAGCTTGTCATTATTTCAGTTTTGGGAGATCTCTCATGCAACAAGTTTTATTTTCCCAAGAAGTTTTATTTTTTTGAGAAAGTGATTGCCACTATCAATAATAACAATATCCAGTAGAAGCCACAATGATGCCAGGCACAACATGGCTTCATACACAAATGATGTAAATTGTGTAGTTTGCACAGTGACATAATTATGTACATAATATTATGTGCCTCCCCTATCCCATACACTGGTAATGCTCCTTCCAATTATTTATTAAAGCTATATACAGGTGATACATTCTCAGCTACTTATGACAGCTATGTACTTTTTTGTGGTTTCATAAATTGGGCAAGTTTTGTATAACTAAACGAGTATCTTCATTGATATCTTCTTGGTTTACTAAACAGGGTATTTTAAATGCAATCTCTTACGATGCTGCCTCAGTATATTTTGTCTCATTATCTGTATCTGTTGCTGTTTTAAAAAATCCAAAGTGTTTAGAAAATTGGTTGATTTCAAAAATCCTGCCTGGGAAAAAACCTACAGTAATGTAAGATTATATAACATTTAGGAAAGGAAGTTCAACAGTTGTTTCAGCTTGCATTAGAGTGGATTCCGATTTTTTTCCTGTGCACACCAAAAAGGCTCAACATATCTGATCCAGAGGTGGTATTCAGCAGGTTCTGACCAGTTCTGGAGAACAGGTAGCAGAAATTTTGAGTAGTTTGGAGAACTGGCAAATACCACCTCTGACTGGCCCTGCCCCCATCTATTCTGTGCCTCCAGAGTCCCAGATGATTGGCTGGGTCTTCTTTTGTTGCCCTGCACAGGAGAACAGAGCTGGAAAGCAGGTTAGTGGGGTGTTAAAGGATATGGAAGGCTGAACAATGGCAGGCTATTCAATGAAATGAACAAGGATGCTCTATTTACAGTGTATGTCTTTTATACTAGATTCTTTGCAGTTGTTAGCATTGTCTCCAATGTTACTATATGAACATTTTAGACCTCCTTAATTAGGTCATAGATAAATTGAGCCTTATTCTTTTACTTTATTTCATATGGGAATATAACCTTTTATGGTTTGTGCCAGTAGATGGAGAGAAATGGATTTGGTTAAAAATAGATTGTCAGTATATCCTTATAGCTTAATATAAATCTCTTTATAGATATCAGCACATCAACATGTTAATAATATGCTCCAGATACAGCTAAAATATATTTCCTTCTCATGCAATCAGAAGCATTTCCCTCAATCTTGGGCACAACACTGAGATTCAATTTATGTTTTCCAATTTTATCTGAACTAAAAAGAAAAAGGAAAACCCACAAATACTTTATTTTGCACATTTATACAAGCTATATCTCAGATAAAGGTTTTTTGTCTCTGTAATAAAAGTGAAGGTTAAAAAAATCATAACTTTGTAAGATACATATTACACCCCATTTAAAAAAGGACTAAAATAAAGAGTTTTCCTTCTGCCTAGTGCAAGTTGTAAAATTCTTGCAATTAGCCAAGAAAAGGAAAGGGTTAACCAAGGACTGGTTGTAGAAATGTTCTTTCTCCACTCCCTCCCACCTCCACTGATCCACTGAAAGCTGGTGGGCCCTTTCTTGTTGATTCTCTAGAGAGCTTCTGTACTGGGGGCATTGATTAGAAACAGTCTGGCAGGATTATACCTTTTCTGTTACTATGCCAACTAATCAGCTGATTTTGGTTGCCAGAGAAACAGAATGTCAGAGCTCATGGTGCAGGAACGTGAATTCAGCACAATTGAAAATGTTTTCTTAATTGGATATCTTTTTCATTTCGGATTTTATGGGAAAGGCAGCTGGGAGGGAGGAGAGCTTCAAATAAGATTTTGCCTTAATTGATCAGAAAGTAAGTTTAGGATTATTTTTTCCCTATAAACTGGAAAGGGAAATGTCTTTATATAGTGTGCTATAATCTGAGGGTGGCTATTGCTCAGCTTTTCATAAAGAAGGATGTTCAAGAAGCCACATGCAAGTTCTGATGTTAATGGAGGTATCTACCATTGGTTTTACAAGAAAAAGGTGAATATTTATATCAAACTGCCAGTTTTGAACTAGGACTAGAACTACTACAAACAGATATGAGCTACAAAACCACCAGCAGCTGCTAGAGAACAGTGGAAACATGCAGAAGACCCTTTGTTGTTCTCCAACGGTCCCTTTAATATTTGCAGACCAAATTTCATAGCCTTTAATTTGGGCCTTTCGGATTTACCCATATCATGGGGTATGGGATCAAAAAAAAATAATGGTGGCCATAACCATGCAATCAAAACCCTGCCTTCTTTTTATGTACAGTCGTGCTGCATGTAAGACGCATAGGCTTTTGATCACATTTAGTACATAGTTTTGTTGGAAGAAATATCCTTCTGGGTTCAGTTCCAAGTGGAGAAAAAGACACTGGAAACATGGAAGCTGCTTGGAAAGATTTTTTAAAAAGTTTTTTTAATTTTTTATAACAACCCCCCCCCACAATCTTTCAATTATACAGTGTGTCATCTGAGTACATATATCTTGTAATAATATTTATATACTGTTGGAAGTTAAAATCCACCCCTCTCCTAGGAAAATGAAATATTTTAGGATATACTAAAAGGGCAGAATATTTCCCCCTAAAAATAAAAGTAGAAACTCAGGGAGGCAGAAACTCAGCACCCCCCCCCCCACCTTTGCTAATTGACCATTACTCTGACCTAGGCCAGTCTATTTTACATAACAAAGATCTACTCCAGATAGAGCTATAAGAGGAATTGCCCAAAGCCCTTTCATTACATCATCGTCCAGCAAGGCTCAACCAAGCCTGGGACTCAGGACAGCCTACAGAGTTGTCCTCCTGCATGGCCCCATGGGAGTCCCTCAACCAGTCAGAATACAAGCTCAAATTCAAATCGCAACAGAGGATATAAAACCAAGGGACTCTCAGCATCTCGGCCCTTCTTTCTTCACCCAAGGCATGTGATCCTGTCTACCATTAAACCATCTTTCCAAGCAGTCACCTTGTTTCCAGTTTCTTTCTTCCCCACTTGGAACTGAACCCAGAAGGATATTTCTTCCAACAATGACGGGGGATTTGGGGGCTCCTAAAAAGCCATCAAAATCCCGCAGCTAGACGGTCCAATTTGTACCTAATCCTTCCCAAAGAGATGGTGAATGAGGGGAGCACATTCTGTAGATCCCAGAGACACTGCAAAGCCCCTGGTTGATCCAGAAAAAGCTCCCTAAACCAGATGCAGAGGAAAGCAGCCATTAAAGCCGCTGAAAGGCTGGGACAGCTCTGGAACGAAAGAAGACTGGAAGGAATGTGTGTCAGATCTGTTGAGGACTTTTTCTTTTCTTTTTTCTCGCTAAAAATAAAAGAGTACCCTAAGGGGAAAAAGAATTTTATGAAGATAAGAAGAAAGAAGAGAGAGATTAACAGCGAGGAGAGCATGTTTTTAACTGTCAAACTGAATTAGGACTAATTTACCATGATTCTAACAAGAGATTAACTTTTAACTGGACTGGACTCTGGCAAGAATTAGATAATTTTTTTTTTAAATTTTAAATATTGGATTATTTCTTCCTTTTTGTTTTTTTTAATCTACTAACTTATAAATTAAAAGTGAAACCTCTTAAAGAAACTTTTTAGAAACAATATGACAAAAAAGTGAAAGTAAAGCAACAGTGCCACTGAGTGCTGAACTATTATTTAAACACGTACTGCTCTTGTAAAACAATCTAAAC